CACACAGTTTTATTAGGTACCTACAATTTTATGAACCTCACTGTTCCAGATCTGCGTTACTGAAACATTTATATTTCTAATTCTACAATCGCTGGCTGATTATGAAGATTAAACATTGTCAAAGGTATTGAGAATTCTGCGTATAAAAACTGAGTTTAGTATCGTTAAGTCTTGCGTATTGCGTAGGAGATTACATTAGAAAGTGATACGGAAGCATTTAATTCGTGTAATGAAGCACGCACCCGTCAGCTTAGCTGATAAGCTTTTAAGTCAGTTCTCACGATTATTAAAACGAAGTACATGTTTAAATGGCAGTAAATGATGTTATTAAATATGTATGTCATTATATGCCATGTAGAAGCTGGTTTCTTGCCAAAATTAGAACTCCTTTAATAGTATTTTAGGTATCTATATATTTTTTTGTTATGGCAACAGAATCTCGTCTATTTAGTAGTGGACTAAATTGCCAGTGTCAATAAGTATTTAGAACAGAGTAAGTATTCAGCAGCTGTAGCCAAATGCCATTTAGCGCTTGTCTACATGTAGAATAGAAAACTAAATTATATGGAATTGACGTAAATTTTGACACTTGTCAGTGTCATCCCCATTTAGTTTTCTACTCTCTCTGTAGACAAGCGCTAAAGTGGCGTTTGGCTAAAGGCACTGAACTGAAGTTCGAAAGTCATCAATAGAATTCAGTCCATATTACTATCTTACTTCTTACTAACGGCTGAAGGGATCGAGATGAAATTTGGAGCAGCGGTACATTATGGTCTGGAATAACACATAGGCTATTTTTTATCCCACGGGAAAATGGGCAAAGCCGCTGGCAAAAGCTATTATGATATCAGGACTCCATAAACACGATTACCCTTACCTAATTATTATCCACGAGTAGATGTTGATACAAATCGATAGAAACAGCTTTACTTGCTCTTTGTGACGTTTCAATGTATCTTATAGTTATTCATAGTCATGCATCTACAGAGATCGGACACTCGCATGTTGAGTCCTCAGTGTACGTGCAAGCTAAGAATGCGACCCGGAATTCACCACACATTAGCAAAATTGGGGCTGATTACTTAGCTTGCCCCCTTTCCCCGAGGCTCGGTGGTTATGTGAAACAGTTATAAACTGCCTCAAGATGATGATATATCATGCGATGTAATGCACGGACCTCGAACGTGCTGTCACGTAATTTGGAGTAGGTATATGTCCAGTTTCCGGTTCTGCATAGCGTAGCTTGATTTGACGAGATAATGTGACAAATTGACTCGAGATAAGATCGGTTCTCGCTTGGCATGAAGTGGTGATAGCAGGTTTCTGGGAAATTGAAGATCGGTGATTAGTTAAAAGTTGGACTTTATTGCGTCTATGTGCTATGTATTTAATTGTTTATGGTTTCGTCTCCAGAACTCATAACGCCATTATTGAAATGCGGATGTTAGGGCTCGTAAGTAGACAAAACTGCGATGCGAAGTCGCATCGCAAAAATGTGCGAGCTCCCTCTACGCATCGCAAGAACTTGCGAATTGA